GGGTCCCGATGTTTCCTCAGTGTTGTGAATGAAAGGACACGTTTTGCATCGTGCACGAGCGCATTTAAAAGTGCCTGGTTGGTCATTAGTCTGAAAAGAACTTCTGACCAAAAAATTGCCTATGTTTTAATTTTGTCGCGTTTGAATGAAATGAGCGGACGCTGCGAAAAGATAGTGCTTGTATCTGGATCGTTTTGAATTAATTTAAAGTTTTTAAGAATGATGGATTTATCTGAGTGGTTGTGAGGGTGAAGCGTGAGAGTGAATGGAATGCGGTCGGAATCTTCCTTTTGCGACGTTTGTAGTGCTGAATGTTGATCAATAACTGAGTTGGGCGCGTTGGTAACCCGCTTGAACGACAGAATCAGGGTAGTCACGTTTATCGAAAAACTGGCACATTGACTCTGATTTGTGGTGGAAATCAGAGTCATCACAACGTAAACGACGAAGTCCTAGAAACTGAGAAAAAGGAATGAAATTCTTAACGTGAGATGGATGCGAAGACGAATACAACAAGTAATTATGCGAGTGTGTAAGTTTGTAATACACACTAGTGCATAAACCGTTGCCTTCAATTGAAACTTTGATGCCTAAAAGGGATAAAGAATTGTCAGAAATTTCCCGGGTATATTTCAGAGCCGGGTGAAAAGAATTGACTGCGGTTATAAATTGAGTCAGCTCCTGTCTGGTAGAGGAGGTGGCGCAGATACGTCGATGTAGTGACCGTAGAGTTCAGGTTTGGAGCCGTTGTATTGGCTGAAAAGTTGGTGTTCGACAAAACCTGCAAAAAGATTGGCATAGCTAGGTCCCATTTTGGTACCCATGGCCACACCATTGGTTTGTTTGAAAAAGTTGTCTCCGAATGAAAAACAATTGAGTGTGAGCACTAATTCGGCTAGGCAAAGTAGTGTTTCAGATTTTGGTTCCTTAACAGTACGTTGATCAAAAAAATGTTTAAGGGCCAGAAGACCTTCGCCATTAGGAATGACAGAATGACAGAATGACAGCCTTTATTCATTTGCATTGTATAGGTAAACACTAACAGTCACATTACACCCCGCAGGTTTGCAGAACTTTTGTGCCTTATGCATTTATCATTGGCTTGCCCGGGAATCGACCCCCGGGACACCCCTGGGAAACCCAAGGACATTGCGGTTTTTATTCGACTTTATTTCGAAAATTCTCCCCCTGGGTTGGGGGCAATAAACAATTTTGTAGCGAGCTCCCAACACCCCTGGGCATGATTAAACAGTTCACATTCGAAATGTGAAATATAATTTTAACGCTTATTATTAATAACGCTTTCATGTTGGCGGTCAAGACAGGCGGTCACTCTTTGAACGAAAAGAGGTTGTTCCATGGAACCAGCCCCGATGCTGTGGAGGCAATATGTAAGCAAAACTTTGACTGGCGCTCGAACGGAAAGATCACCCATCTTTATGTTGAAGGAAGTCATTTCGCTGTAAATGCTTCCTACAGCGATGCTTTTGCGAAGAAAGACGCAAATTCGTCTCAGTTCATGTTCTTGGCCAAAGTTCTTGTTGGATCTTACACTAAAGGCAACTCCAGTTATCGGAGACCGCCTCCAAAGCAACCATCCAACCCATCGAGTGACCTGTTCGACTCTTGTGTGGACGACCAGTACAGTCCAACCATTTATGTGGTTTTTGACGCTGACCAGTTCTACCCAGAGTACATCATCGAGTATTCTGATGAAAGTAGTAGGTATTCTGGAGGTCGCGGAGCACCAAGTTCCGCTCGGGCAGGAGCCTATGCAGCACCTTCTTTTAGCCGAGCTACCCCATCTAGAAGCTCAGTTAATCCTACAAGTAGTTACTTACTCATCCACTGGTGGGGCATCAATTACTTATGGCTCAGCTTCTAACAGCTCGTCTGGCACTCCGTACAATTCGGGTTGTTCTCCGAGCTCTCTTATTACAACAAATTCATCGCACACCTCAAACAAAGGAACTTCAGGGAATCATTCATCATCAACGAACACTTCGGGCGTGCCACACCACAGGTCAACTCCCAGCAGCTCTTCGACAAAGAAATCTTCCAGTGACAACAAGTGCTTGGTAATGTGACTTCGAAGAAGGAGAAGGTGTGTCTGTGTTTCTACTAGTAATGTACAAAGCTGTATTTCTTGAAAGAAGGTTTATTCTCTTGGATTTCCTTAATTTAAGAGCACTGAGGGCGTAAATTTCTTCGAAAAGCTCAAGTTTTCAAGCATGCACGTATCAATTTGACATCATAACTTGATATACGCACAGCTAAAGCGTTAACCAATTCTTTTGTAGCATGGCATGCAGAAACAAGTTGTGCACAAAAAAGAAGAGTTTATGAAAAATGTGTCGGGTTTACCAGGTAATAGTGTTTTATCCTAAAACTAGGAATAGATAACAAGGAAAAAGCGACCATAAAATATTTTGAGACTAAACCTTTATTCAAAGAATTGTAAATTTTCGGCTCAGAAGCGAAAAACGAACGAGTTTCTTGAATGCACGAAACCGAGTAGTACATTCAGCGTTTTGAATCGTTGTTTACTAGAATTCACAGCAGGAAATTTGCGTAGGTTTGTGTTAAACACTTTAAAAATTCTGAAATTGTACGACTTTAAAATCAAAATATGCTATGGGAAATAGTTTAAAACACTTAAAAATGATATAAACCGTTTGAAAAACGAAGCGATAAACATGCAATTTCTTTGCCTTTGCGAGACTCGGGTGGTAGATTTATTGTTCTTGTAGTGATTACTAGAATTTACCCACCAGAAAATTGCGTAACTTTGTCAGTTGACAATTCTGAAAATTGTACGATTTTAAAACAAAATCTTCCTTTGAACAATACTTTCATTTGAGACATATCAACAATTCTAAATAATATTTACCGTCCCAATGAAGAGTTACCAACTTCGAAAAACCTCAGTTGAAGTCAGAAAACTCATTCTTGTTTCCAACTTCAAAACTGATTTCGTCGCTTGAAAGAGCTGCAGGCTTATTATTATTATTTATTTTTTGACAAAAGTATTATTCAGGATATTTTCTTTTCATTTTGAGCCCCAAAAGGTCGATTTCGATCGGTATAGAATAAAAAAACAATTTTTAAAGTTTTAAAACCTCGTAGCTTAACTCGACGAACAAGAGCAAGGCAAATTACACACACACACAAACCAGTGTAAAAAATTAAAAAAAACATAAAAGAAAACAAGAACAAACTCTAGACTAAAAAGAAAACAGAAAAACTAACAAAGAAGAGTAAACAAACCTTAAGAAGCGCAGAAAGCTTGAGGTTGAACTCTTTAAAAGAGAGAATTGGGTTTGGGCAATAACATAACTTATATTTTTTCTCAGAAATTACGTAAATTGCTGTACAATTCAATGAACAGATTGTGTCGATCGACCTGTTTATATTCCTGTTATCGTTCATCAAAATCAAAAGAGGAGGCTGGAATTTACCAATTCCCAAACGCAGCCGAGTGTAGGGAATATGAAAAAAGCTGTAGTTTTAATTGCCTCAATAAATTAACGCATGTTTTGAAATGGATGATAGCAAGGATGTAAACATGTTATTCATATACATAAATCATTATTCACTGAGAGACTTCCCAGAATTGAATTTCTTCTTTTCTTTCTTCTTTTTCGTGGATGTAAGTGAAAGGCTAAGACCAGTTTAAGTTCAATTATCAGCGACAGAACTCAGGTACTTCATTTCTTCCGAAAAAGGAAAAATGAGTTCAACAATAATGATGATGATGATGATAATGATAACATGATGACGATTACGATAATGATGTGGATAAAAATGACAGATAATCGTAATAATGATAAAACAAATAATAATGTCAACTCAAAGAGACAGAATCTATGCACTTTATTCTTGACAAAGAAAGGAACATTGGGAGTAAAAATGATGATGATGTCGATGACGATGACGACGTTGATAATGATAACGACGACGATGACGATGACTATAAAAAGAATTATGACAATAGCGATGATGACGACGATGTAGATGACAATGACGATAAAAATGATGATGACCATGGCGGTGACGATAACGATGTTGATGACGATGACGATAACAATGATGATGACGATAGCGACGACGATGACGATGGTGACGGATGATAACTTTCGACACGAAAGCAAATAATAACATTAACTCAAAGAATGGTTTCTTAACCTCTTTAAAAAAGCTAATTCGTCACCTTTCTTCGTTATGGAAAGGGGACAACGTTTAAAGGTATATTTTCAAAATAACGAAACGAACAAGGTTTGTATTTGATATACGATCCAAATTACCCTGGTTATGCCGAAACAAAAATGTCGTATTTTCTAGAAAGTTTCCTTCTGTGGTGCAAACGGGGTCAAAGAAAATACATTAAGTGACGTCCTGGCTTGTTAAGGTAATCCATTTTACACAATCAGTATGATTTAATCACTAAAACTCAACACAATAGTTGTGAGATGCAATGCTGAATTCATTGTTTTTGAGAATGATGTTAATTTTTTTTTTATGCCTCGAGATGTATTTTCAATGTGTTTCATTCATGTGCATAAAGAAAAAATAGAAAGTTAAAATATATCCTTTTAATTATGTTAAATAATCTATCGTAAATAAATAATTTGAGGGATTACGCAAAGCTTCTGCATTTGTTCACAGAATGATATTTATTTGTACTCATCTAGTTAAATGGGCTGAATAATGGATACATTTCGATTGGTTGTTACTTACGAGCTATTAGAGGAAAAAGGCATAGTTGGCGTCATCATTAACAACATTTTTCTTCTTCTATCATATCAACAATATAGAGTCATGCTACCGTGAGTATCTACCTTAAGAGATCACTGAAGATGCCAAAATGTGGTAAGACCATCAGTGGAACTCTTGGCTGCGCCTCTTGTGCCATTTTTTGTGTTTTTATCACATTTTGACGTTATTTCTGATTTAAAATTGAACTGGCGCACAGCAACATGGAATCTATTATTTCAGTAATGCAAAACAGTAAACACGCCATATAATGCGAACTACGTATTGAACCTGAGGTAATATGTGATATCTCTCAGCGATCCCAGTGGGATCACTGAGAGTTGCCATATATTGCGATTCTCGAGATGCCATAGAAGGCATACATTGCGCAACTCATTATTATTTTTGCAGCGTAACGAGCGAGGGAAATCGATAATCCACACAATAACCAGAACCAAGATCGAAAATGATATACGCACACGACTGCAGAAATAATCATCATTATATGGCAACAATTTTTATCGCGACAACTAACGCATAACTAGCCGAAGAATGTCCACCCAAATGATCTATCTTGTTTTTATTTTTAATTTTTATTTATTTTCTTTATTCCTCACACACTGGAGGAAAAAAATATACAAGAACAGCCAAAGCCGCGGGCTTAAATGGCCAAGGGTCAGCAAAAGAATTTACAAGAGTAGAAGAAAGCTTGACTTAAAATAATTACAATACAATTAAACCAAGAAAGAGAAGGTCAGTCAGAAAAAAAAAACTTACAATTGAGATACAATACTTGGCAACTAGTTTAAATATTTAAACAACTAATAATAAATTCATAAACCACACAAACAAATAAAACAAATACACCTAATATAGTCCCATAAGGCATGCACCTTGCCGCAGACTTTGTAATTTTTACTTCTCCTTGACAATGGCGTCATGATGACACCGAAACGTCGGTTTTTATTGTTGGGTTTTGCTTGTCTTTGCATTTCCAAATCTTTATTCATAAGATTATGCGTAGGCTAATTATTAACTCCTCACAGAAAAATACAGTCTTAAGATTTTTTTTGCAGTTACTTACTGTGAGATTATTGCGTACAGATAACGGAATATCATTCCAAATAATAGGAGCTTGCCAAGTGATAGCAAATTGATACTTATGACAGGTTTCATGTAGATTAAAACGTGAACGAGTCAAATAATTGTGATATTCAGAATTAAAATGAAGCATCGAGGAAACAGGAGCAGGTAAAAGGTTATTAAAATGTGAGAATACAAAACAGGCAACATGGAATTTATAAATAGAGTAAAGTGAAAGAATATTATGCTTAGAAAAAGGGGTTTAGAGGATGTACGCAGAAGAGAAAAAGTAATTATACGAACGGCTTTATTTTGAAGTACATAAAGGGGTTTAAGGTATGAAGCATAGGTAGATGCCCATATTAAACAGCCATAATTTATGTAAGGTGAGGAAAGAGTATTATGGTAAATTTTTTAAAGTGAATCATCAAAGGAAATCATCCTTGCTTGGTTACGGATGATGGTACAAAAAGAATCAACGAGCATCTTGGCCTGATTAACCGTATCGAAAATTTTGCTACGTAAACCATTCCACTCGGTCTGTTAAAGGCTTCCGAGATGTCTCCTGGAATCGTTCTTTAGAGGCATCATGTATCGAAGAGTTTTGCTCAATATCAGCGGTAAGACTCGTGTATCTTCTAAGTCTCATTTACTGTTTCAATCGCCCCTTGGTAGAGTATTCTGAAAACTCATCTATAAAATTAACAAGTCTTCAGTTGTAAAAGTAGGTGTCTCTGCCAGAAGTGGCAATTGCGTAATTTTTTACGAAAGTGAAGTTAACATTTTCGGTTTCGTTTCATACCGTGTCAACATTAATAAAAAAAAAGTACGAACGCGCGTTTGAAACGGAAAGTTGATCGATGGTTTCCCTCGCGATATTCACCCTTTTCACTTTTAACGTTGAATTAAGGATATTCCAATTAATGATTTGAGGGAAGTCTGCACTAAAGCGAGTCGTCTTCGATCTTAGTAACTGTAACCTCTTCAATAAAGTTATAACTTTGCTGATGAAGATAGAGTCACTTAAATTGTAAGAAACAATCGATAGGGATAACTGAGTTTAGATGGGGATGATTCTAGCGGCCATTTTTAATGATGAGGCATAAATCACACGAAAGTGACGGCAGGAGGAGGTTCATAAAAACTTTTGTGGGCCTCAGTCTCAGTCGAATTTTGTGGACCCTATTTACAGTGGAAAATCAAGGATGAATGTTACTAAAATTGAATTCTGTCAAGAAGTACTGATTGTGATGAAAACTTTTGCTCGTCGTAAAATTCATGACGGAACACGTTCTGCTTCCAGCACAGTGGTATGGGAGCGGTGTGAGTCAAAGAAGCAAATTATGATGATGAATGTTGATAATACGCTTCTCAACGCTTAGTTGGCCTGGGCAACTAATGATGAAGGGAGTTTTCAATATTTTCTGCAATGGTGGCGGATCCTAGCCCTCGTTTCTATGGAGTTTTCATTTTCAAAACAATCATTGCCATTTGTAACACATCTAAAATAATATACGAACACCTTGATTGGTTAAAAAAACCTGCCGTTTATTGCACTGCTAAACCCATAGAAAATTGAAAAATTTTAAGGTATAACAGAAGCTAAATTAGTACTTTCCTTCAAACTGAAATAACGTACAAAGTAATTCTCGAGACCCTAGAAAAGTACGCATGCACTCAAATCGTAATAAACCCTGATTTCAGATGTTTAATTGACTTTCAACTTAAATTTTGATTATTTGACAGAAAAGGAGCTTACCCTTTCACGCTTAGACGGTGAGTGAATTATATGGTACATCAAGCCATAGATAATACACTGAGGTAATTTATTTTTCTTGGTTTCTGATTATTTTTTATTATTATTTTTTAACCTATTATTTCCCTCAATTCAATGGGATTTCATTTCAGGATCCCCCTGCAAATGATAGGATCGCTGAAGGCGCTTGTGTCTGACTGTTTACCATGGTGATGCATATGGCTTCTTAGCTTTAAACTATTTCAAGACATATTTAATCAAATATGAAGGATAGCACTGTTCGTCGTTAAAAATGACATAGATCTTTGGTTGATTTTCGTCGTCAACACAAGAATCGTACAAATCGCTGGTAAGATTACTTGGATCTTGCAAAGGCGGTCGACGTAAGTTTCTACGTCCAAGCTTGGATTCACCAGTTAACACGCTTGCCAGAAACATATACCTCGTTCTCTTGCCATCACTTTCAGTATAGTTATTACTATAGGAGGCATTTACAGCAAAGTAGCTCCCTTCTCCGTATTGTGTCCCATTCTTCCCTCGCAATCTGTGGTCAAAATTATGTTTGCAGATGGCATCAACAACGTCTGATGCTGTACCATGGAACAGAAACTTTTCAATCTCATCGTGCCCTCTAAGTGTTAGTTTCCTTTGAATTCGTTCGCGCTTACTGAAGGGGGAAAAAGACACAGAGAAGATTGATCAGTAAGAGTGTAGTTGTGAGGCGTTTGGTGGCTAAGTTAAACTAACCTAATGGCCGACTGCCGTGACTTAGGCAAAGTCAAACTAGAAGAAAAACAAGATTATTGTGGCTGAAGCCTTAGACACTATGTACATGTGTAGCTGTTCCTAGTAATTTCTGCACACAACCTTTATTTGCTGTACATCGTATTAACCGTTTCTTAAAATATCTTAGCATAAAAGTCTCACCTTTCGTATCTCTCACGCAACTCGTCATTCTGAATTTTTTCCACCATCAATATGGAAGCCTTGTGTTCCGGCAATGTTTCATGAAAACGCTGACTTACAGTTCGGTATTCCTTACAGTCCTTTTCCAAACGCGTTCGTTCAAAATCTTTAGCTTTGCCTCTCAGATACCTAAATAGATTGAAAAATGAAATGTGCTAGATAAACGGAAATGGGTGACCACTTGCTACAATTACAGGGATATACGTGCAGCTTTTAGCAACACCAAGGTTTTAAAGAACTGATGATGGTATTAAAAATGAAAACGGAATCAAATGTGTATTTCAACAAGGACACCTGCTTCCTCCTTGATGATAACGCGCACACTATAAGACGTCAAACTTTGACAGACCCCAACCCTTCCTGTCGATTACAATTGAGACGACAGCAAATAAGGGGTTGCTTTATGTCAATCGAGCAGGCCAAATCCCTTCCTTTCGGATTGCATATCAGTGAGTAGCAATCCGCAGCCACTTGCCTATTGGTGTCCTGAGGTTCTGATTTTGAAGCAAACAATGGCCTCCTTCTAACTTGTCGCTTGGTAAGGAGGTCTGGGTCCGTATTCATTTGGTACATTGGTGTTTCGCAGAATTTGAGAATGTAATTGTGTGAACCACTTCCAAAGGAATAAGTGCGTTCATCATTCAAATAGGCAGCTTCTATCTTTTCTTGTTTAGCGCCAGATGACTGCTAAAAAAGAAGATGAAAAGTAAGGCCTATCTGTGTAACTCCACATAAATAGAGTGAGTCCAAAAGCATATTTTCTCAAGCCAGGTGCACTGCAGTCACCAAAAACTATAATGTATTGACTTATCAAATGCGCTCACGTACTCAAACAAGACGCCATTCACCACACTTCAACGTCAAAGTCAGTGCATGTAACACAGAGCCTTGTATAAAACGAAAACTTACGGAAGCTTTTGATTACAAATATTTTGTATTACAAAATCATTTCTCTCTACTACTTCTTACTATCGTTTCAGCGTATTTCTTCCAACCATTGTTGTCTTTCCAATACCAAACCCACTGTGTAGATGACTTGTTGTTCGGCTCCTGAACGTATGACGGTGTTGAGCATCGACGGAGCAAGAACTGGACAGAGGAGGGCGAGTTCATGGACATCTCTTCGTAATTAACTGACATCTGTGATGCTGACTTCATAAAAATGCTGCAAAGAAGAAGGATTGAGTACTAGTCTTAACGTCCGGATGAAGGCATTCCCGAAAGGGATTGTTATAATTTCACTGACTAACATTTTTACAGCCTGAGGGATGGCAGTTTCAGAGTCAAGGATTCGCTTAATTCTGACGATGACGTTTGCTTTAGTAATTAAAATGCTAGTCACTACTAACGGCGAAGGTCTTAATCAGAGCGAGGATTGCCTGCACGATCAAACCGGGCAATCACACCTAATCATTTTAAGAAACAATCAAAAACATTTCTCCGCGCAATTCTGACAAATTCATTACCGATACCAAATGGTGCAAAGCCGTTAAGACTATTGTTTACCTCTAGATCTCATTAATATTGCATGCTGATAAACACGGTACAGTGTTTGCAATGACGACATATCCAACTACTCGACTAAACATGTGCAGTGCCCTCCTATGACATTAATGAATATAGCCTTTCACTCTTTCCTCTTTTGTCCTACCTCAATGCAGTATCTTTAAGGTTCACGTTAACTTCCAGATTATCCACGTCACAATAAAGCTCTTCCAAAGCCTCATTGTCAGAAGGGCCAAAGGTTCTCCAGGAATACGAATCTTCCTCTTTGAACTGCCAACAGTAAGGCGTGGACTCACAACCAGCTGCTACGGAAAGGTGTAAAAAAAAATAGGGTAATACATCATTTCAAAGATCAACAGGTCAATCTATAAATCAAACCTATTCAGTTGATTAGGTAGTCAGCGCAAACAACTGCGCGACCTCTTCTCCGCCAACCAGTCAGTCAGTCATCCAGCCAGCCAGTCAAGCCAGTGCGTCACTCAGGCAGTCGGTCGTTTTGTTGGTTGTTTCGTCTGCCAATCATGATCAAGCGGTCAGTAATAAGTAAGTCGGTTGGCTGGTCTGTCAGTCGGTCTTTTCGACTGATTGGTATGTCACTCCCCATCAGTTGGCAGTCAGTCACATATTTTAGCCTCGGCCAACCATTCAACAGCAAGTACATTACCTCGTAACAAGTTCCTACTAAAAGCTTTAGCCCTGAGACGCCAAAGTAACACCAGCGCTAGTACCCCAAGCAAGAGGCATACTTGTAAAATACCCTTCCAGCTCTTTGTTAAATTGACGGTAGTCTTTGAGATCGATTTAGTTTGGTAATTTAAAACACTGGAGTAATTTGAAGCAAGCGAAGAGATCGTTGTTAGGTGCTCAAGGGCAAGTTTGGTGAGTACCAGGAAGATCTCCGAGTTAGCTCTTCGAACATACTCTAAAATAGCAACCAGATTTTTCCAGATTACGCTTGGAACTCTGATGATGTATGCCACGGCCAGGTGTAGGAGGTAAGTTAGAAATCGTAGCAACAACCAAAAATATGATCTGAAATGAAAGACGGTCTCGACTGTAAGGGTAACCACAAACAAAATACCAACAATTTTGATCGCCTTCACTATCATGTTAGCAGCCGACGAATGTCTTCTCAAACAATCAATTTTGACTTGAATTACCCTTGCTAGGCTTTTGCAGGCGGCAAGTAAAGAATAAAAACCTGTCTTGGCCGGAGTAGTAGTACTGAAAACATTGTGGCAAAAACCAATCCAGAAACTGACGCCTTGCTGAATTTTTCCTCTATATTTGTTCCAAGTCTTTGAACAAAGAATAATCAATGCACCACACAAAATGCAAATTTGCAAAATACTTATAACGTAAGATAAAATAAGAGCCACAACAGTAAAAGAAGGTAATGGAAAAGATTTAAGAAAACGAAAGGCAGTTATGGTTGAGCCCTTCAACGTTTTCCAAAAGGAAATCAGGATATTCTCACAGGAAGCACTCATATAATTCATGAGCATTCTCGTGCCTCTAGTGATAAACATCACAGAAAAATACAAGATCTGGATTGATATTATAGAAAGATATCCAAGCATTATCCACACGCACTTGACAACAAAGGCTGTCACTACAAACATGACACAAATCTTTATGGCCGCCGCCACTGCGTAACCAGCGAATGAATGTCGACTAAAACGATCCAGTTTGTCTTGAATAATCCTTGCATGGTTAGAGAAGATGGTAAACATAGCATCAAATTGCCTTTTGACCTGTTCAACGGCACTAGAAATCTTGTCACATAAAACTCTTGTGCCGTGTTTGATCCAAAGCGAAACCACTTTCACCATGCCGTACAAACAAAACAGCTGAGAAAAACTTCTCCAGTCAATCCCAAGATTCAAGGCCCATCTTGAGAAAATTATAATTAGGTCATGCAAAACAGTAGTCGCGCCACTGAAAGCGAATAACATGGTGGGCCTCAAGTAATAGATGGCAACTCTTATCGATCCCATAAGGATTTTCCAGATGAAGTCGAAAAGATGCTTCAAAATAGCCCATACGCTCGCCAAAATCAAAGTTGCACCTCGAACTATTATCGCAGCAGCGAAATATAGGAGAGAACTCAAATATCCGCATAACAACCAGAAATAAGATCGAAAATGAAATATGCACTCGACCGCAACAATAATCATGAACAATATGGCGATAACTTTTATCGTCGCAACTGCCGCGTAACCAGCAGAAGAATGACCGCTCAAGTGATCCATTTTGTCGAAAATGTTCTTTGCTTGATTCCAGATGATGGTAAATAAAGAATCAAAAAGCATCTTGGCCTGTTCAACCATGTTGGAAACCTTGCCACTTAAACCATCCCACCCTGGTTTATCGGTCTGTTGAACTCTTCCGCTACGTTTTGTTGAGGCGTGTTTGACAGGCATCTTGTATCTAATAATTTGGCTAAATGGCAAGAGAAGACGCCGTGTGTCGTCTAAACACTGATTACTGTTTCGAAGAGATCTTCATATTCATAAAACATCTATAATAATCAAAATATCTAGCAGTTCTCGAATCGTGTCACAAGATTAATGGTGATTGCGTGATTTTTCACGAGTGAGGTTCGTTTCCGTTCTTGGGTTTCACCCACGTGACCAATAGCTTAGCAACGGTTACTATCCGCCATCTTGGTGTCCCTCGAGCATAAACAAACCGTATCTAACGAAGAATTCATGTGAGAAAGAAGGGATGGTTTTATGCATTGTTGTTGGCTGTTCTACCAAAAGTGGAAAGCATAAAGACTAAGGATTTTTTCGTATAATGATTTAATAATTTTATGATTTCTATAGCGCAAAATTTAGGCCTCACGGAAAGGTACCCCACCCATGGAAACCGTAACCCCATGAGAATCTCAGACATGCGCAGATTACATTACTTTGTAACACTGCTTGAGAAAAAGAACGCGGGCTCGTGCCGTGAGTTGTCAATTAAATCGCCGGCCGACTCGCCGACGATGAGACCTTGTGGCACGTAAAAGAGCTCACGGCAGCCAGTTTTCTTGCAAAAATCAGCCACCAGTCAAAAAGAAGCCGAGAAAATATGCGAATTATTTCGAAGAAATAGAAGAAAGCAGCGTTGCAGTGCAAGTGTGCAGCTTTTTATGTGAAAAAAGACTCGATCGACTCGAGAGAGTGTAAGGGTTTGAGATCCGAAAACGCCAATCTAAAAGGAACAGTCAAAACCTTAAGACGCAGTCTAGGCAAGTGTTTTTCAGGAGGGAATGGAAATGCAAACACTTGCAAATGTCTACGAATACTACTGCAGATTGTCTGAGCCACCAATTACGGTGACTGATTTTCATTCCCATTCTGAAATTTCGCCGGTTGCAACTTGCGGGATCGTAGTTGATACCACTTTTCAATGGTATTAATCAAAAACCGATAACAATCTCACCAAACGGAAGCCGAAAAAAAAAACTTCTCGAATGCTAAGGTAGAGTAGTCGATATGGCCGCATAGTCAGTAATAAATGTACAGGCAAGTTAATTTTACGGGCAGCAAATCATAACGACGTGTATCTTTAAGCGTCATACAGTATCGAGAGTTTAATGAGTGAAGTTTTATAAGGATTAAGTTGGAAGTTCTAACAAACGTGAACAAAATTATCTGCAGACGGACCGCCATGGAAACGTAATAGTAATAGTTTCAGTTATTCAACCTTACAATTGTGATAACCATTTTTTTACTAGATTTATTTTTTCTAGTCAGGCATTTTTACTTTGTATTCTTTGTTTCCATACTCTATCGTGTGAAATCCGTGAGTTATTAAATTGTCACCGTTCCATAATTTCAGTATTTGTAAAAGGAAAGAACATCCCATTGAAAAAAGACGCGTTGAGGCTATAAATTCAACTGAAAAAGTGTCAAAACAAACTTACGTCGACTGAAAAAAAAAGAAAAATAAGTCGGCAACAAGCCAAGGGAGACAAGACCTGCTTCCTCAAAACTGAAAAAGAAATTGCAGGGGAACAATCAGTTTGTCAAAAAGGGATATTCCCTTGTGGAGACATTTGCACATGGTAACAATGGATACAACCCAAGAATTTTGATGTTTATGGCTTGTGTCAGATCCATGCAACATGCATCTTTGTTAGCTTATCAAAACCCACCTGTAGCATTACATCTGATTTTCAATATTCTGTTTGACTGTAGCCACCCAACAAACTTTGTTGTCTCCCCAAGTACACTTTCTGGCTGGAATGTTCTCTTAGGTGAAGCAGACAAACTAATTTTACTGAAGCGCTTTTCAAACTCCAAGTGCGATTTTCATCTCCGGAGCGATGACTCCCACAAGGGAGAAGAGTGGCACATAGTGGGTGTTCACACCTGGTGCCCTATAGAGAGCAAGCCTCGAGCTTACGTCCTAGCAAACAGCNCGTAGTGAAGTTCATGAAGAAAGAATGAAAGAATAGGCCCAAATACTCACCACAGACCTTTTGCAAGAGGCAAGAAAGAACTTAAACAAGATTAGAGAAAACAGCACACATGGGCCACTTACAGCAAAGGATGTTTACCCTAAAGCTTGGATAGAAAAGAAAGCAAACAATGACTTACCAGATATGATTCAGTCAATAAAAGCTGATGGTCACAAACTTAAACTTCACTGGAAGGCTTCTGCCAAGGGAACATCCACACTGGAGGGACAAAGGTCATTCAGCCCAACAGTAATTGAGGGAGTTACGAGTACACCTGATGGACAAGTACAAAGACTCATGCAGCTAGCAGTGCTAAAGGTGTGGAACTATGGGGAGGAACTACCAATTTATGATCTACCACAAGAATGCCATTTGTGTCTACAAAACCTTCCAAATGTCTTCCAACCTCCAACTACTTGTCTTTCTAGGTCCCACATGACTGTACATATTATGCCATTGCCTACACAAGAAGAACAAAGTAGTCATGAGGGTGGCTCAGAAATTTTAAACATTTTAGATTTGTACATAAGAACTAATTTCACTGACCCACACTGCATGAAGTAAATGTATCTTAACAAGAATGCATTTTTTTACACACAGAGACACAATAATGAATAAAATAATTAATGTTTTAATGCAACATGTTAGAACTAACCTGATAAAAGCATGTTGTATATGCCATTTTAGTTAAATAAACAGAACTGAATATTTTAGTGTATGTAGCATGTTAGCTCTGCAATATTGTAACTGGTTTTACCGGGTATAAGTAAAGTGCATGGAGCCAAAGCTGAGACATGCATGTATAATCATGTTGTATTGGATCTTGAATTAAATGAATTGTACATTACATTCAAAATGAACAGTGGGCAAATGAAGCTGTAAATGAAAAATGAAACAGGTAAATGTAGGTAAATGAAACAGGACCCCAAGGACAACACAGGACCCCAAGGACAACAGTGTTACACACTGATGGGTTTTCAATCCTGTATAAAAATTCGTTTTTATTATTATTATTATTATTATTATTATCTGATTTTAAATTGTTATGTATAGCTGTAGCTTAGTAGAATATTAAACAAACATTGAAATGCTGTCACTTCACTACAGTAGTTTAAGACCATAATAATTGTAATATTTAACTGCATGTGTGGGGGCGAGGTGGCCTCACGGTTGGTGCGCTCGACTCTGGATAGAGTGGTCCGGGTTTGAGCCCCGGCCGGGACATTGTGTTGTGTTCTTAGGCAAGACACTTTACTCTCACAGTGCCTCTCTTCACCCAGGTGTATAAATGGGTACCAGCAAATTTAATGATAGGGGTAACCCTGCGATGGACTGGCATCCCATCCAGGGGGGAGTAGAAATACTCGTAGC